GCAATATGTTATTAGAAACCAAGATCTGGGTGCTGAGTGTGCTTCTTACTACTGGGGTGTCCTTGCTTCTAGACCCTTTCAGCTGACAGAGCAAGGAGATCTATCTGTGTATACTAACCTGTGTGTATACATTTATCTAGAAATACTTCTTATGTAACCATCCGTATCTCTATGAAGCTACAGTTCTTAACTGGTATCTCCAACTGATAAGGTACCTCATCAGTTGTAATTTGCAATTCCTTGATGACAAATGGTGTTGAGCATCTTTTACGTGCTTATTTGCCATCTGTATATCTTCTTTAAGGAAATTGTGTTTAGAGTTTTTTGCCCTTTTTTAAAAAATACTTACTTGAGAGAGAGAGCACAAGCAGGGGGAGTGGCAGAGGCAGAGGGAGAAGCAGCCTCCCCGATGAGCAGGGAGCCCGATGTGGGGCTTGATCCCAGGATTCTGGGATCGTGACCTTAGCGGAAGGCAGACGCTTAACCGACTGAGCCACCCAGGTGCCCATTTTTGCCCATTTTTAAATTGGCTTGTTCTAACATAGAGCTTTACGTACTTTTTGGATTATTCTACATAGGTAAAAAAATTACATTTTACATCATAACTTAATGCACACATATTGGTGTGTAGTGTGTGTATTTGCATTAAAATAATTGTTCAAATTTCACAGAGCAATACTTAAATTTAATGCCTAGAATATGCTCTGGTATTTTTTTAGATGCTGTTGTGTCTCATAGCCTGGCAAAAGCAGTCTCCTACAGTGTCCCACAATTTGTGACAGCCCTTCCCGTGATGATACCATCCCCTTGTCCCCTTAAATGTCCAAATATTCCCTTCACCCTGTGCACACTCAGCTAACTTCTCAGGTGATCTTTTCTCCTTGTCCCGTCTGGGCAAAGGTGAGGAAGGTCTCAGTATTGTGAAACTGAGCCATCGCTGGGTGAGGCATCTTTTAATTCCAGCACCTGGTTGCTCCAGACCTAGTACTTCATTCAAGGTGTCTTAGGGGTGGGAGCAGGGCTTCTGAGTGTAGGAGTTTGGAATGACAAGTCCCACTACCAAAGCCTGCCTCCCCCCAATTCTTGATGAATAGGCAGCCTGCTCAAGGGGGTGCTTAGTAAGAGTACCTGACTTCCTATCTCCTCTCTTCTGGGCCTACAGGCCCACAATCCTGAGCCGGTTCTGGTTCCTGGCCAGAGTTCAGAGTGTCACCCCACATCCCTGTTCCTCCCTGCCTTGCAGTTCGCAGAGCAGTCCCTGATGAAGAATGCCATAAAAACATCAGAGGAGTCATGGATTGAGCAGCAAATGCTGGAAGACAAGAAGCGGGCCACAGACTGGGAGGCCACAAATGAGGCCATTGAGGAGCAGGTGGCTCGAGAATCCTACCTGCAGTGGCTGCGGGATCAGGAGAAACAGGCCCGCCAGGTCCGCGGCCCAAGCCAGGTGAGTCCTGGGCTCTGTCACTGGCCTGGCCAAGAACCCCTTATTTCACATGCTCTGCCCCCCCATACAGGAAGAAGAAATTAAGCGGTTTTGACATCTGGGAGAGAAGGAAGCTCTCAGCCCATTCTGTACCACATCTTGGCCTTAATCTTGGCATTGTGCCTTAGAACTCTCAACACCTTTGCAGAACGAGCTCTTAAGGAGTGAGGGAGGCCAGCACTGGCGGTAACGTGTGGGATTGATGAATAGTTCTAGAGGGACAAGCTTTTGTTGAATGTCCTTGTGTGTCAGGCTCTGTGCTGAGGATGTAGAATTAGGTCTGGCCTGTTCCACTCTCAGTGATCCTCTGTCTACCGAGGGAGACAGATACATCCGTGAGGCCCTTGACCCTGGCTGGGAGACCAGTGGACATGGGGGTTCTGGTCAGTCTTCACACAGGAAGGTTGGATTTTTAGGGCAGGGATGGGGCAGAGCAGGCAGGCATTTGAGGAATCACAAGGAGTTCAGAGTGACTGTAAGTGTTGGCAAGAGTCGAGTAATTTCTACAACAAATATTTATTGCAGGTCTGTGCCAGGCACTGTTCTCAGTGTATGGGGGTACATTGGTGAGCTGGGCAGGTCCAGATCCCTGTCCTTGTGATGCTTATATTTTTGCAGGGTGGAACAAAAGAAACAGTAAACATAATGAATAGATGGTTGAGAGGTGGGACAGATGAAACACATAGAGGGTGCTGACGGGGAGATGAAGATAGTATGGTCAAGGTAGGCCTCAGAGCAGGTGAGATGTGAGCAAAAGCTTGCAGAAGGTGAGGCAGTTAGCTAAGTGCATGTGCCAAGCCAGGCAGAAGGCCAGCAAGAGCAAAGCCCTGAGGGGAGTGCGCTCCTGGTGTGATTTGGGAGCGGCCCGGGGCCAGTGTGGCGGAGCAGAATGCAGTAGTCAGAGAGGTGGTGGGGCCGGATTGAGAAGGGGCTCGTGGGCTCTGCTGAGGACTTTGGCTTTTACTGTGAGTGAGGCAGAAGCCTTTGGGAGGGTTGTGAGCAGAGGAGGGACAGGATACCCCTGATTGCCGAGTGCAGCGCGGAGTCTAGGGGGTTAGGCGGAGAAGCAGGGGACCGGTGAGGTGGAAGCTACTAGAGAAGTCCCAGTGGTGGCAGGTGGCAGTGCTGGCTAGGGAGGAGTGAGGAAAGGGGATGGAGTCTGAATGTGTTTTGAAAGTGGGAGATACAGGTTTCCTGCCCGGTTGGCTGTCAGGATGTGAGGGGGGATTAAGGAGCTGGCCTTCGTCCTGTGGCCTGCCGTGTGACTAGGAATGATGGTGGCCTATGTAGAAACTGTATCATAGCCAGGATGCCGGGAGTGAGCCAGCCTTCGGGGACGGAGCAGAGGAGGCTCACGCCTGGCGGCGGTCCTTACCTCCTCCTCCTTCCTCCGCACTGCAGCCGCGGAAGGCCAGTGCCACATGCAGTTCTGCCACAGCAGCAGCCTCCAGTGGCCTGGAGGAGTGGACCAGCCGGTCCCCGCGGCAGCGGAGTTCAGCCTCTTCACCTGAGCACCCGGAGCTGCACACCGAGCTGGGCATCAAGCCCCCTTCCCCAGGCACTGTCTTAGCTCTTGCCAAACCTCCTTCGCCCTGTGCACCAGGTCAGTGACTTGGTGACAGGGGAGCATGCCGGGGTGAGGAGGTGCCGCCTAGGTCCTGCCCCCGCCTCCCCCCCCCCCCCCCGCCTCTGACTGTCCCTCTGCCCCAGGTACAAGCAGCCAGTTCTCGGCAGGGGCCGACCGGGCTACTTCCCCCCTCGTGTCCCTCTACCCTGCTCTGGAGTGCCGGGCCCTCATTCAGCAGATGTCCCCCTCCGCCTTTGGTAAGCTTCCTCTGTCCAGGGGCCAGGGACCAGCTGGGAGTTGGGGAGAGATGGAAGAAGCAGCCAGTCCTGAGAGGGGGCTTCTAGAGCCTCGGGCCACCTCCCCAGGAAAAGGGAGGTTTTCAAGCCCAAGGGATATGTCCAGAGGGGATTTGTGTGGGATTTCATAGGCCCGGAGGAGCCTTCTCTATAGAGAAAGAAGTGTAGAGGGGCCTGGATGGGATCTCTCCCGAGCCAGGGATCAGCCAAGGGTGAGGAAAAGATGCACTGGGAGTGCTCCATCATCCTGCTGCCCTTCCTCTTGCCCAGCAGGTCTGAACGACTGGGATGATGACGAGATCCTAGCGTCGGTGCTGGCAGTGTCCCAACAGGAATACCTAGACAGTATGAAGAAAAACAAAGTGCACAGAGATCCACCCCCGGACAAGAGTTGATGGAGACCCAGAGACTGGAGACCATCTCCCAACCCCCACCACTCCTGCCCTCCAGTGCCGCCCCACCTTCTTCGGCTTTCTTCCCTCTTGCCTTCTTCCCTCTCTCCCCTCCTTTCGCTCCTCCCCACTTCCCTCTGGCTGGCCCATCCCTGAGCCCCCTCTCATCGCTGCCGCCACCACCACCATCACCCGTCTCTTCGCCAGCTGACGTGCCCTGTTGCCCCCTGCACAGCATCATCCCTGCATTCCACAGGGGACTTGGGCAAGGGTGCCGAAGGTAGGCGAGAGGCACACAGAGACAGAACAGCTGGCAGCCAGGCAGCCCCCGAGGAGAGACATTCAGACAGAGGAAAGTTTCCCTGCCCCCCATTCCTTCCAAGATCAGAAATACTTGTCACCCCACCTCCACAATGATGTTGGGGAGGTGGGAGGAAGAAGTGGGAATCCCCCTTCCCAGTACCCCAAGAATGTCTGAGCCTTCAATGTTGAATTTTTTCTTTATTAAAATGTACTTTTATCTTACAAACTCAACCAATCCAAAATGATGTAGACAACAGCATTGGCTCTGTGAAGGCGGCATCTCTCTGGTTTGGGAGCAGGCAGGCCACGGGGCACAGAGGGGGCACAAAGACGTGGTTGCCGTCTCTAGCCCCCAGCTCCGCGGAGGTGGGCAGGGTCTAGAGTACAAGCGGGGGCAGGGGGTAGGTGTCCTGTGGGCTCTGGACAATGAGACTCTGACCTCGCTGCATTCCTACTGCTTCCACGCCACCGCCACTGGTCTCTTTGGAGTCTTGGGGTGGGGGGCACCTTTGAGGATCGTGGCTCCTGCCACCCAGGATTTGAGTGTGGGGAGTGGGAGCAGCCTCAGCAGATGGGGCACCCGGGCCCTGCAGGTGTTGACAAGATCCACCATCTGTAATGTCCTTGGCACAATAAAACCAAATGTCAGTTTCCCCTGAGCGCTTCTGTTCTGTGTGGGCCACGGGGTGGGTGGGCCTCCGGGCAGAGGCGGTGATGGCATATAGGTCTTGGCTTGACCTCTGGGTGCTGCATGCTCTCCAGTAGGGTCTGTGTGTGGGCCCAGAGTTTGTTCATCTTTGAATCACTGCTTACTAAATCAACTTCGGGACCTGTTCCCACCAAGTAAGCTCCATCTTACTGGCACACGTAGCCTGCCCGCCCTGTGCCCTGGGGTGTGGTGGGAGTGGAGGACTAAAGCTTCAGGGCTGGAACTGAACTTGCAACTTTTCTGCCTGCCTCCTTCCCTATATACGTTTGCTCTTTCCTTGTGATTTTTGATGCAGAAATGCTTTGGAAAGGCACAACAGATGCTTCGTATCAACGTAAGTTTAGTGGAATTGACTGGAGGGGCTTCCCTGGTTTAACTACAGAATGGTTAAACCCTTTCTTTTTCATGTTCTCAGTCGTCTGACACCCATACCCCTGCCTTTCCTTGGGGTAAAGCCACAGCAGAGAAGGATGGCAGGCCCCCGGGTCTTGTCAAGAGTGTATTTTGCTGTGCCTCACCAATGGGGCCCCTGTGGAAGGATGCATGCCCAGCGCTGCCGGTGAAGGCATGGCTGGTTGAGTGGCCATCTTGTGGGGTGTCTGTGGAATCCACTGGTCAAGCGTGCACATGTTAGAGAGTTGGTTTGGAACCCACTCTGGCTTTTTCTAGCTTTGTGACCTCGGTCAAATCACAGGCTGAGTTTCAGGGGTCCCACCATGTGTACGACAGGAGTGATTAATGTCTACTACCTCACGCTCTCTCTGGTTGTGAGCATTGAGAGAGAATGCACGTGGTCAAATAATGTCTGATGGCCTGGTGCCTGGCATGTTCTGAGAGCCCAAATGTTAGCAGATAGTATTTATTTACCTTATGTTGAGTTTTTTACACTGTTTGGCCCCTGCCTACCTCTTCTTGCTACCCTGTCCAATTTCACTGGCCTCTGCCTGGAATTTGCCCTTCCCCGGTCCTGAGCCCCCAACCTTGTCTTTCAAGATGGGTAGAGTGTCCACCTTCCGAGAAGCCCTGTGTGACCCCATCCATATTCTCACCTCTATCCACAGATAATGTCTTTACTCCTTCCCCAATAACTCTGTGATTCACTTCCCGGGCAAGGGCTGTGATGCCTGACTTAATCTGTGTATTTCTAATATCTGCACCCTTGCTGGGGCCTGGCAGGCTTACAGTAGACCCCTAATAAATACTGGATGAATAAGGGAGCGTACATGTGTGTATTTGCTTTTTGGGTGTTGTCTTGTGTGTGTGCGCGTATGTGTGTGTGCGTTTGACTTTGGTGAGTTCAAATCTTCACATGCACCTTGCAGTGTCTAGTGTGTGTGATGAGGGCTTGTTTCCAGGTGTGTCAGATGGTGACTGAGTGTGGGACTCTCTCTCTGACAGTTTATGTCTGTTTCTGAGACAAGTGCATGTCTGCGTGGGTCTGTCTGTGACAGAGCATCTGTGGTTTCTTTCTGATGGGGTGGATGTCCGTTTGTATTCCTGTGACAGATTCTGGGTAGCTATTTCTGGACAGTTTCAGTGACAACGCTGCATGTTTGCTGGTGTGGGGGGGGGGCGTGTCTATCCACATCTGTTTTGTGACACTGCCTATCTGTGGCTCTGTCGCATAAGTATGTCTGCCTTTGGAGCAGTACTTGTGTGTGTCTGGAGCATCTGTGTGTCTTCCTGTGACAGACTCAAGGTCTCTCATTTCTGGGACAGTACAAGTCTTCCTCTGACAGTGCATGTCTGATGGTGCCAGTGTCTTTGTGACAAGTTCTGGTGGTGTGTCTGACAAGACATTTCTGTGTCATTGTCACATGGCAACGTCGGTCCATGTGAATCTCTCTGGAGTGCCTGTCTTTCTGTAACAGTGTTTCTCTGGGTGTCATTCCGGGACATAACTGGCAGCATGGCTGCCTGACTGTGGATGTCAGTCTGTGACCGTAGATGTCTGCATGTGTGTCTAGGACAAGTTTACATGAATGTGTCTGACTATAGGTTTTGCGTATATCACATGGTACTTCTGTGTCGAGTGCATCTCTGTCTTCCTGCGGCGTGAGGATCGACTATTTTTCCCAAATTTGCGTTGGAGGGTGTTTTACCACCTGTCTGAGCCCTTTCCATCCCTGTCTCTCATTGGGGAAGCATACCCCCAAGCCACCATCACTCTGGCTCGCTAGCACCCCCCACCACCACCACCCGAGATCCACTACCCTCTGCCATTCCAGATTCTAGATGTGCTGACTAGGCTCGCGGCCAGACCTAGCCAGGTCTGTCCAGGTTAAGGGCTCCAAAACACCCCACAGGCCTCTGCCTCAGGGCGTGGGAACGCTGTCTCCCGCAGTGGTAGGGGGGTTATCCATCCCTGGAAGCTGGAAAGGTTCTTCCAGGATCCCCGGCTTCAGTTTTGGGGCAGAGGCCGCTGGTCGCCTAGAGGGCTCTCGTCTTGGGTGAGGAGCACTCTTTGGAGACAGGGTCCTGGGTAGCCACAGGCCCCGATTCTTAGAAGCCCGGCCTGGCATTATCTCCGCGCTAATCTCGAAGCAGCGGCTGCAAACCAACTTCCTAGGAAAGGAGGCGGTGCGGTTATTTTTTTAAGTTTATATCTATATATACACATACACACACATATATAAAAACAACCCCGCGCAACAACCAAAACAAATGCGGTTGCTGCAAAGGGATTCCCAGAACCGGTTTCCTCTTCGCGCGCGCGCCCCCCACATTTGCATGCGGGCCCGGCCCCCGCGGAAGATCCGGGCATGTATTTGCATGAGGGGGTACTTGAAGCGTTGAGGGTGGTATGCAAATAAGGATTGGCTCCGATTGGCTGGGGTACAGCAGGTGCCGCGTCCGGATTGATCAAAGCCAAGTGGGCGGGGCTGTCGCCCGGGGCGACTCTCTCGGGAGGCGCGTGCCCCGGCTCAGTAGCGTTGGGGCTGGCGCGCGCGTCGAATCTTAACGTTGCGCTGTTTTGCGGGCGCTTTGGGGCCATCAGCTTCTTTGCCTTCCACCCTGGCGCCCCCAAGTCCTGGCTCCCCAGCCTCGCTACCCCGGGCATCCACGCCCTGCGGGCTCAGCGGGCTCAATCTGCGCAGCACCACCTCCATGTTGACTAAGCCTCTGCAAGGGCTCCCTGTGGCCCCCGTGACCCCCACGCCGCCGCCAGGTGAGCGAGGCTCCCCTACCGCGACTAGGCCGGGCGGGCTGAAGTGGTTGAGGGCGCTGCGGGGGGAGGGGGGAAGGGGTCGCGGCCGGGCTCAGCACGCAGCCACCCTGACTTCCTCGCCTCCGCCTGCGTAGGAGGCAAAGATCGCGAAGCGTTCGAGGCCGAGTACCGACTCGGCCCCCTCCTTGGTAAGGGGGGCTTTGGTACCGTCTTCGCAGGACATCGCGTCACAGACCGACTCCAGGTACCAACCACGAGGGTCTTGGGTGGGTCAGGGGTGGTGTGTGTGTGTGCGTGTGTGTGTGCGTGCGCGCGCGTGTGTGCGTGTGTGTTGTGTGTGCGTGTGGCGGGGGCGGGAGTCCCGAGGCTGGGATGCTGATTGACCAGGGGATGAGCCTACAATGTGTGCGTGGTAGGGTCATGAGGACCAGGATCCGGGTTGGTGGGGGTGCCGGAGCGCGCGCACGTGCGCGCGCTTGTTTGTGTGTGTGGCGATCCAGGTGGGTATGTGGGGGGGGGGGGGAGGGGGTTTCAGGGCAGGGATGCTGGAGGTCCAGGGAGTGAGACTGAGGAGTGGGGGTCGTGAGGACTCTAGACCCTGGGATCCAGGGGATGTGTATCTGTGTGGGAAGGTAGAGACCCAGAGCTGAGATTTGGGGGATTTCGAGGGCAGATGTCCAGCGTGGAGTCCTTAGGACCAGGACCCCAGTACAGAGTTGGGGTGTCTTGGAGCTGGATGGGAAGATTGAGGGCTTGGGGTATTAGGAAATTCAGAGCCCAGGATCTGGAGTGAGGGGTCCTGAAGCCTGAGAAGAGAGAACCCAGGGCCAAGGATGATGGGAGAGGTGAACTTGGTTCTGGGGACTTGGAGGGCAGGGGAGAAGCTCCAGCTCATTTTGGGTTGTGGTGTAGCGAGGTTGGCACCAGAAAGACTAGGGTGAGGGTCAAGACTGGGAGGGGTGTGGGGGTCGTCTGCTGGCCCCCTCACCTCAGCTCTCTTCTCCAGGTGGCCATCAAAGTGATCCCCCGGAATCGTGTGCTGGGCTGGTTCCCCTTGGTGAGTATCTTTGGAGTCCCTGACCTGGCGACGCCATCTCTGAAAGATGGACTCTACCCCCTTGCCTTTCTGGGGCTTGTATGATTCCCTGGGCCCTGTAACGGTGAGGAGAACACTCCTACCAGCCTGTGTTTACTCCCCTGTGGTGACATCCACACCTCCATACAGTTCTGACTCACCCCAGCTCCCCTAGGGTCCTGGATTCTCCCCCTCCAACCCTCCTTTCTCCTCCTCCCTCCAAACACTGCCTCAGGGGCTGCCCGCAGGGCATGCTGGTGGGGAAAGAGGGGCATAGGTCACTGGTTGCCATGGTGACGGTGGCTGCTTCTCTTCGGCCGTTAGAACGCTAACGGACAACAGGGCGGGTCTGGGCAAGTTGTAGGTGTGGGAGCGCCCCCTGGAGGACTCTGGGGGAGACTGCGCCTGCGCAGGCTGTGGGACCCGGAGGGAGAAGTTGCGCCTGCGCAGTAGCGAAATTTTCATCACCGTGAGAAAACCTGTCTGCGGCTGTGCTAGTCAGCGGACTGGCCGGGAGAGGGCCCCACCTCAGGCAGGAAGGCGGATTCTGGCTGTCCATGAGCCCGCACCGGGCTTCTAGCGTGGGGCGGCTTCTGTGGCCAAGCATTTATGCCTTTTATTGAGCACTGTGTGTCTCAGGCTTTGCTTCATCATCAAAGTTTACTGTGTTCCAAGTCCCACTGAGTACTTGAGTTCAACACAGTTCTAGATGTTTAGTGACAGACAAAACATCACATAGTATTATTGAGTTCTTACTTTGTTCCTTTGCAATTAATCACTTTCAGCTACTTAACAAATGTATATTGAGCACCTACTATGTGCCAGGCAGAATTTTAGGCATTTGGCAAAATATCACATTTATTGAGAGCTCATTTTGTGCCAGGTCCTTTTCTACTAATTGCTTTTACCTATTTAATAAATATGTATTAAGCCCTACCCTGTTACCAGGCACTGTTATAGTCAGTGAACAAAACAGACAAACCATTATACAATAACAGTATTTATTGCGTGCTGACTCTGTGCCAGACTGTGCTATAAAGTGCTTTCAACTATTTAACACACATTTATTGAGCACCCACTGTATGTAAGGCACTGTTCTAATCTGTTCTGAGATGCCAGTGAACAAAAGATACACTATTACATAATAGTGTTCATCAGTTGCTTCTTCAGCAGAAGGTCTTTTTTTAAAAAGATTTTATTTATTCATTTCAGAGACAGCATGAGTGCATGCGCACGCGAGAGTCGGGGGGAGGGGCAGAGAGAGAGAGAGAGCATCTCAAGCAGACTCCCTCCTGGCTGAGCTTGGAGCCCGACGTGGGGCTTGATCCCACGACCCATGAGATCAGGACCTGAGCTGAAACCCAGAGTCGGATGCTCAACCGACTGAGCCACCTAGGTGCCTCAAGAAGGCCTTTTTTTTTTTTTCCTTAAACGGACTTTCATTTACTGAAATATTCACTGAGCTCCTACAATATGCCAGATGTGTATAGGCATAGTGGCTCAAACCACTGTTTCAGTGGCTGTGTTTGAGCCCTTAAGATGAGGAAACTGAGGCTCAGGGACGGAAGTGGGTTGCTGAAGGCCACACAGTCAGGAGGCTGAGGGGCTATGATTTAAGTTCAGGCGAGAAGTCAGCCTCAGAGCTGCTGGCCTGACGTCTTTGTTCTCTTTTCTCTCCCCCTCCCCCCACAGTCAGACTCAGCCACATGCCCACTAGAAGTCGCATTGCTATGGAAGGTGGGTGCAGGCGGTGGGCACCCTGGTGTGATCCGCCTGCTTGACTGGTTTGAGACACCAGAAGGCTTCATGCTGGTCCTCGAACGGCCGTTGCCTGCCCAGGATCTCTTTGACTACATCACAGAGCAGGGCCCATTAGGCGAGGGCCGGAGCCGCTGCCTGTTTGCCCAGGTAGTGGCAGCTGTTCGGCACTGCCACGCTCGTGGAGTTGTCCATCGTGACATCAAGGATGAGAACATCCTGATGGATCTCCGCCGGGGCTGTGCCAAACTCATTGATTTTGGTTCCGGTGCCCTGCTTCATGATGAACCCTATACTGATTTTGATGGTAAGTCTTCGCTAAATCTCAATGGGGGTGGGTTACCTTTTATCGTTATAGTCCCCTGATCTTTGACCTCTAGGCTGTGGTGGTCTGTGCTCCTTGATCTATATTGCACCTTTATAAGGTTCTTGAGTTTTAATATTGGGGACTCTCAAGCCTTGTCCTCTGCTAAAGTCCATCTTCTGACAGTGCCCAGACCTGGTGAGGGGATTGTGTTATTATCCTGAGTATTCCTTTTCTGTCTGGTAAAGGGATCCTACTGTTACTTTTAAGTGCTTTTATTCTGTTGAGGCCACTCTGCTGTTACCTTAACTGTTCTTTTTCTGATGATGAGACTCTGCTGTTATATTTAAAGAACTCTTGTGGTTAGGGGACCCTACTCAGGTAGTGTGTTCTCTTAATTCTGGTGAGGGGACCATACTTCCTGGGGAGGGGATGTGGGAGAACGGCATTATCCGAGAGTGGTCTAATCTCTGGCTTATGTGCAGGGACAAGGGTGTACAGCCCCCCAGAGTGGATCTCTCGTCACCAGTACCACGCACTCCCAGCCACTGTCTGGTCGCTGGGTATCCTCCTCTATGACATGGTGTGTGGGGACATTCCCTTCGAGAGGGACCAGGAGATTCTGGAGGCTGAGCTCCACTTCCCTGCCCATGTGTCCCCAGGTGAGGCCTTCACCAGTCCTAGCTCAGTGGACTCCATCCTACCCAGGGACTAGTGTCCCCAGTTGACTGCTAATCTTCTGTGTGCTTCTGATCTGCAGACTGCTGTGCCCTAATCCGCCGGTGCCTGGCCCCCAAACCCTCTGCCCGACCCTCACTGGAGGAGATACTGCTGGACCCCTGGATGCAGACACCAGCTGAGGATGCACCCCTGAATGCCCCCAAGGGGGGTCCTACCCCTTTGGCCTGGTCCCTGCTGCCCTAGTCCTAGCCAGGCCCCTGCTAGTTGGAATAGCCGTCCCATGGCATGCCACAGGGATAGATGGACATCTGTTGACCTGGTTATACAGGTCATTAAAAATCCAGTGTTACTAGGGTCAGAGATTGGGGATCAGGGGTCAAGAGACATAAGCGAAGTCTGCCCACTCCCCATCCCAATCCTGCTAAGGAGCCTTCCTCCCAGAACTTATGGTCTCTTATTCTGGAGGGCGGGGGGAACTTCCTTATTTCTCATTTTGCTAAGGGTGTTTATTTGGTTGAAGTTCCTTCCATTCTGAGCCCCAGGACTCTTATTCTGATGAGTTGTAACCCCTACACTGGCACCTCCTGCTACCACCACACACACTTAGTTCAAATGCTCTCACTTGGGCAAGGGTGCTTTCCTTCCAATGCCCCAGCAGCTCTTATTTTAGCAAAAGGACCCTTTTTCCTAGCCCAGGGTCCTATATTCAGTGAAGCTGCTTGCCTACCTCAGCCCAGGGTTGCTTATTCTGGGGGAGGTAATGCCCTATTGTTATCCCAAGACTTTTTTTTTTAATTATTTTTTATTATTATTATTTTATTTTTATTTTTTATTTTTATTTTTTGGTGAGGGGACCCTACTCTGTTATCCCAAGTGCTCTTATTCTGGTGAGGAGAACCCTACTTCCATGATTTGGGAAGGAATGGGAGATGGACACCACCAGAGTCCGCTAGGATGGGGTGGATGGTTTTTTGGGGGATGGGGTGGGGGAAATCATTCTTGTTGTTTGTTCTCCTGGGCCCCCCCCTCCATCTTTTTCGGATTCTTGCTGCCTCCTTCTGAGCCAGGATTGTCCAGTTGCTGAAATGTAAATACTTATGTATTGGTGGGAGGGGAGCTCCAACTGTGTCCTCCTCTTCCTTCTCCCCCTGCCTGGATTATTTAAAAAAGCCATGTGTGGAAACCCACTATTTAATAAATGTTATAGAATCAGAAGCGACTGGCCACTTGTAGATGAAGCAAGGAAACACATTATTTGATAAATATAATAGAATCAGAAGCAACTGGCCATTTGTAGATGCAGTGAGGCAATGATGGAGCATTTACTGTATGCTGAGCCAAGAGGGAGGTGGGCTGGATCGCTCCTCTGCTCTCGGAAAGCTTTAGCCCTGTGATATTGTCCTAAAGCTCTTTTATGGGTTCGTCTATGCAGGATCACAAAGAAAAATTTGATTTCCCCCATTCCAGCTCTTACGTACCTCCCAGGATGTGCAGAAGGGCTCCGTTGGAGATACTATAGACACTGAAGATGTTTGGGACATATCCCCAGTCAGAGGGCTTGCTCGGCCAGAGAAAAATGTCTCCCCCAACCCCGTTGGAGGAAATAAAGCTCTTCTCCCATGGGAGAAAAGGCCTTTCAGGGCACGGGGTGAGGGAGGGGCCGGGGTTGGGCACTGACGGAAACCTTCCCAGCCCTTCCAGGTTTCCTAATAACATCCAGGGTGTAAGTCACACCTACTTACCTTTGGCCCCTACCTTTTTTCACCTCTCCCTTGCTCTCTTGCTCATCCCTCTCATCTCTCATTCCTCACCTCCTGACGTACCCACCCTAACCTCAGCTGTACCCTCTCTTGCCCCGCTTTCACAAAGCTAACCTGAAAGCCTCTCATCTGGTGGCTTACCTGGCCCCTTCGTACTCCTTTCCCTCCTCAATAGGGACTCGCTTAACCTCCCTACTCTCAGTCTCACCTCTCCAGCACCTTCTCACTCGTGTGGGCTAACTGCTCCGCTTTCAACAGCTAGATTACCAGCCTGCCCCTCGCCTGCCCCGCCCCCCCCTCCCGTCTCCTTTACCTCCCAGACGCCTGCGGGCTCTCCAGGGGGCGGGGCCTCGCCGGGAGGTGGGGGTAAAGAGGAACTTCAGTCCAATCACGAAGGTACCCAGGAGTTTGGGTGCGGAAAGGGCGGGATCATCTGTAGAAGGTGCCAATGAAGAGCCGAGATAGAAGAGGATCAGCTGAGCCAATTAGACAAGGACACACTATGGGCGGGTGATCTGGAAAGCGGGATCAATGAAGACGAGGGCGGGTCTAGTAACGGGAATGAACCAATGAGGCTCTGTGGAGACAGCAAGAGGCTGAGTCGGCCGCGTGTTGGGTCTCCCCATCCTGACCGAATCTGGAAATCCCAAGGCTGCGGTCTTAGGTTCACTGTCCGGGAGCAGACCGGGAAAGCCGCGGCTCTGGCCAGCCCCTCACTCGCTCCACTCCCACCCCGGAGGCCCGGAAGCGGAAGTGACGGACACGGAAGTGCCCTGCTGTTGCCGAGGGGACGGACCAGGCAGATGCCAACATGGCAGCGGTTGGGTCTGGCGGTTCCACCGCGGCGGCTGGGCCAGGGGCGGTCTCCGCGGGGGCGCTGGAGCCTGGAACCGCGAATGCGGGTGAGACAGGCCGTGGCCGAGCAGACGGCGGCCGGGCGAGGGTCGGGATCGCTTGAGGGGGGTCAGGAAGTTTCCTCCCTCAAGCGAGAGGGAGCATCCCGTATGGACCAACCTATGTGTGTGTGGCGGGGGGTGGGGGAGGGAGGACGGAACGGCCCACTGTGAGTGTGTTGGAAGGCGGGGAAGAGACCATTCTGAGGGTGATGGGGGTCCCCTTCCGCATATGGAGAGTGGAGATCATTCTGAGTCTGGGGGGTTATTGCCTCTGGGGGGAGGCTAAGACCATTCTGAGTGTGTGGGGGGTCCGTCCTTAGAGAAGGGAGAGAGCATTCTGAGGGTGGGAAAGTTCTTCCTTATAGAAGAGAGAGGCTGTTCTGAGGGTGGTGGTTTCTTCCTTATAAAGGAATAGGGGGTATTGTGAATTAGGGTGGGGCGGGTCCTTCCTTACCCGACTTAGAGGGTCCATTTTGAGGGTTAGGATGTCCGTTATAAGGAGATAGGACCGTCCTGGGGGTCCCTTCCTCATGGTGGTAGAGTTCATTGTATGTTGGAGTGGGAGGGTCCTTCCTTACATGGCAGAGAAAAGACGTTCTAAGGGTGCAGGGCCCTTCTTTATAGCGGGGAGAGTTCGTTGTGAGTGTGAGTAGAACAAGGAATGATTCCTTGGCTGGAGGTAGGGAAGGTGCGGTGGTGGGAGGATGACTGGACCATGTGAAGTATAGGGAAATATTTCCTTATGTCCTCGAGGGAAGCAGACCATTCTTGGTGCAGTAACCATTTATTATACGGGGTTCAATCCTAGGGACTGTAGAGGAGTTATTTCTTAAGTTTGTGAAACCATTCTGTGTCAGAGGGACTCTGGTGGTCACAGAAGGTAGGAGTTGGAGAGACCATTCTTAGTGTGAGGGGATGGACTAATACCTTAGATGGGAGAGAGTACGTTCTTTAGGGGGTGGACATGCCTTATATAGTGGTTTCATTCCCTGTATTGAGGTATCATTCTTGACGTAGGACAACCCCTCATTAAATAGAAGCATCATTTCATATAAATCTTCGGTTTGCTCACCCACATAATGGAATCCTTGTAGCTCACTCAGAGATCAGAGCAACATAGGGGTCTGCTGACGTAATCCACATAAATCCTTTACCCCAGTGATAGGTAGATGGTTAGCACTCAATAAATGTTGAGAATGTGGTTGGTATTCTGTCTTGGGGTGAGTTGCTTCACACACACACGGAGGGAGAGAGGGGGCCGAGTGTGTCCCGGCACCTGCTCCAGCCATTTCCTGATACCTCAGTAAGGATTCCGGGTATGGGCTGGACAGGGTGAGGCCCACTTCCTCCTTTGTGGCTCGTCCTGCCTGTTGAGGCAGTAGAAGTAGCTGGGAGTCAGACCCTCCTTGGAGTCAGGACAGGGAGGCAGAGGGAGGAAGTGGCAGTGGCTAGGAGGGTCCTGGTTAAGAAAGGAGTGAGGGGGAAGGTGGTGGTGTGGCTGTGCCCCAGCAGCTTCTGACCCGTTCTTCCGCCTTGCTCATTCCATTTCCCACAGCTCACCGGCGCCTCAAATACATATCCCTAGCCGTGCTGGTGGTCCAGAATGCCTCCCTCATCCTCAGCATCCGCTACGCCCGCACACTGCCTGGGGACCGCTTCTTTGCCACCACTGCTGTGGTCATGGCCGAAGTGCTCAAAGGTCTCACCTGCCTGCTGCTGCTCTTCGCACAGAAGAGGGGTATGAGCCAGCAAGGGAGCATGCACTGGGGGCAGTGACGGGACTGGGCATGGGCGCGTGCGGGCGTGTACACCCAGGCCCACATGGAGGGTTTGCTGGGGGAATAGCACTGTATCACTGTGTCTGCAACCACCTGGGGAGTGTGTAAGTGCAGCTAATCTGCCTGGTCCCTTCAGCTATGAGTAGCCGCAGCCACACTCTTAAACCCCTAATGCCTTGGAAGCTGGCATGTGTGGACTGTAGGAGTGAAATAGTCTGTGCCCATAAGGTAGCAGGTGACCCTTACAGGGTGGTTCATTTATTTCCCTTTAACTTTGCATTATGGATCATTTTAAGCATATACAAACCCGGAGAGAATAACAAAATAATAAAATGTTCGTGTACCCATCACCCAGATTCATCAGTTGTCAACTCATGGCCCCTCTGCCATTAAACAGCATCAGTGATAATCCACTCACTGCCAATCTACATGTCTGCCTACCTACTCACTCCCTGCCTTATTATACTGCAGTGTGTCCCACATGAAGTAAGTAGTGTTTTGAAGTAACCCCGCCCCCCACCTTACTATCTGAAATAAGTATTTTGGTACATTAAAAAAAATAATTGCAATATCTAAAAATCATACATCAAAAAATGAACCATAATTTTTTAAAGTTAATAAAATAATCAAATATCCAGTCAAGTGTTCACACTTATAATGGTTTTTCAAATATCATAAAAGTTTTAAAGAATTTGTTTCAGTCGGGTTTATATAAGGTCAGTGCCTTGCAATTGGTTGATGTCTTCTAGGTCTGTTAACCTCAGGGTTCTCCAGCTCTTTGTGATCTGCAGTTAATTTCTTGAAGAGAGCAGGTCGTTTGTCTTGGAGACTTGGGACAGCCTGGATTTTGCTGGCTGCCTCCTTGTGGTATCATTTAACATGTTCTACCCTCTGTATTTCCTAGAAGTTGGATTTATCTACTAATTTAAACACCTCCCTAAAGGCCTGCTTTAAAACGTTGCCGCCAATTGTTTCTCTATAAAGGCCTTGCCGGGGCGCCCAGGTGGCTCAGTCAGTTAAGCATCTGACTCTTGATTTCAGCTCAAGTCATGAGATCAAGCCCCGCATTGGGCTCTGTGCTCAGCAGTGGGGAGTTGCCTTGAGATTTTCTCCCTTTCCCTCTACCCCTCCCCCTGCTTGTGTGCACGCACACTCTAGTAAGTAAATAAAGCTTTAAAAAAATAAAGGCCTTGCCTGTGTAAAGGATACAGGTGTATGTTCTAGCTCTGCTCTCAGTATTTACACTGAAGAAAACAATCTTGCCCACTCATTAGTGCCAGGGCCCTGGGAGGCAGCAGTTTGGGAACCCACCTGTTCTGTTCTTTCTGTTTTTTTTTAAGTTGAAGTATAGTTGACATACACAGTTAACCCTTGAACAACACGGGTTTGAGCTGTGCAGGCCCACTTAGATGCAGATTTCTTTTTTCTAACAAATATAGTATTGAAAATGTATTTTCCTTATGATTTTCTTTTTTCTAGTTTACTTTAATGTAATAATACAGTATATAATACATATAACATAGAAAATGTTCTATGTTCTCAGTAAGACTTCCAGCCAACAGTAGGCTATTAGGAGTTAAGTTTGGGGGTTCAGGGAATCAAAAATTCTATGCAGATTTTTAACTGTGTGGGGGGTTGGTGCCCCAACTCCTGTGCTGTTCACTGGTCAACTGTAATGTTATCTTAGTTTCAGGTGTACAGCATACTGATTCAACAATTCTCTACATTACACAGTGCTCACCATGATAAGCGCAGTCACCATCTGTCACCATACA